GTGGAGCTAAACCAGAGCAACATTAGATGCAGGAACCCATCCTTCAGCCAGTAAAGACTCAGCAGCTCTCGGACCTCAGCGTCAGTTTGCTTCTGCAGTTTTTGGTTTGCTTTGCTCCGTGCCCAGCTGGAGGCCTGACCACCCCACACCTGCTCTCCTTCCTCTCAGGGAAAGCTCTGTCACCCACAGCCACTTCCTGCAACCCTGCTCCGTGCTGATTCCTCCCTAGAAGTGTGAGAACTGAAACCCTTTTTACCTTGCAGATTGAACGTGGTTGAACACATCCTCGCTCCAGGCATGGTAGTGGTTCTTCTTTTGCTTGCAGTGGCTGCTGCTGTTCTGGTTATGCTGTCCAGGAAGAGGAAAAAGGGTGAGAGAAGCTGTCACTGCCACACCCCCCCTATTTCTGCACCAGAACCTGCCTCTGCTTTATTTATTTTTTCCTTTATATTTTTTTTTTCTCCCCCATTCCCTCCCTGATCCATCCAATTCCTTGGTCCATCACTGAGACCTCCACCGAGGAGGATTCCTTCCCCTGAGGGAACAGTGGGACCATCCCATGGGTCTCATCCCCATGGGAGCAGGGAATAGCAGCCCTTGGGGTGGGTGCTGGTTGGCACAGCACCTACTTGTGTTTGTCTGGGCACCATCAGCTTCCTCAGATGGGCTCACTTGGGTGGGAGAGGCTTGCACTAAGCTTGACACAAAGTTTAAGGCCAGAGTGAAGGATGGGGGGGATAGGAGGGGATCTTGCCAGCTGGAAGGTGGGATCTGGCTTTGTTTGAAGAACTGCTCCCGTTTAGATGGCTCACAGGGTAACAAGTTCCCTTCCTGCTTTATGGTGAGATTCACAGTGGCAGGGCAGTTTCTTAATTAATTTCTTTTCCTCTGTTTTCACTCATGTCTAACCACATCCGTGCTCCATCCAGCCCTCTCCGGAGCAGCCATAGAGATGGACAGGACTCGCAGTGTTTCACACACAGTAAGGAAAACCTCATGCCCCAAGTTCTCCTGGAGAGGGGAAGTGTTACACCCCGAGCTGCCAGAGCCACTGCTGTCAGCCTGGCTCATGGTGCTTTAGGCTGGGAGGGATCCTTTGGGCCCTGCTGGCCAACAGAAAGACACAAACAGAGCTTTTGTGTGACTATCACAGAGTGTTCCTGGGAAAGGAATTTAGGATTTGGGCTGAGAGGTTTGCCCCCAGGCCCCTCCAAGCATGGGAGCTGCTCCTCTGAGAGAAAAACAGACCTGGGAACCTGCAGCAAACACACCTGAGGTAGCAGTGGAGCAGCTGCTCTTTGCTCACTGCTTGGAAAGCGTTTTCTAATTTTCTCTGCCAGATTTTGAGGAGAGGCTGGTGTCACTAACTAGAATTCCCCTGGGGAATGTTGAACCAGCCTTTTCTTCAGGTTTTGTTTCCACCCAGTGCTCCTGCAGCCATCAGTCTCAGCACCCATCAGGACAGGCAGCAGGGCGGGACGTGCTCCCACCCCTGTGGATGCAGGCGGCAGCAGGTTAAGAGCTCATCCCTCTCCATCAGGGAGCAGATGCCTTGAATTATGCAGACATTAACCACCACATGGGCACAGCCAAGAGCCAGCTGTACAGCAATGCCGAGGCTTTCCGCAGCCTGGAAAACTCCTCAGTCGAGTACGTGGAAGTCAGGCACGGTGCTAAGGTAGGAGAATGCCGAGCAGTGCCGGGTTGGAGGTGGTGGGGGCAAAGCTGGGGCAGGTGGGTGATGGCATGGGCAGTAGGATGGGCTGGGTGGGGAGGGAGGGGGCTGCAAAGGGGCTTGCCAAACTGGGTTGCAAGGGACCAGGGATAATGGGGGTTCCCGCTCCAGCCCCCATGGCTGCTCCTGGGTGCTTAAAGTAGCCAAGAGAGGTTCCAGCAGACAGTGTTTCCCTGGAGCAGCCCCACAAAGAATGCTTTTTGTTTATCCTCTTCTTTCCCAGCCTGTGGAAGAGGAAACAGAGGCGATATATGCCAGGGTGCAGAAGCCTGTGCGGCAGCAGGAACAGATCTACAGCAACGTGCCACCAGCTCCACGGCCCAGCGAGGAGCCCAACAGCACAGCTAGGGGGGTGTGAGCCAGCACCCGGCCCCATGGGCTGCTCCTGCTGCCAGGAGTGTCACTGGGACCTGCATGGAGGGGATCACATTGGCATTCCACTCAGGCAGGAGCTGGCTGGACAGTGGAGCTGCTGCTCTCCAAGGCTGAGGATGTTTGCTTGGAGCGACGCTGGGGAGGATGAGGTTGAGAGGAGACACAGAGCGGGATGAGGAGAAAATCATCCCTTTGCATTTGGAGTCCTCATCCATACAGCAGTGGTGCTGGGAATAAAACCTTCCCTCTTGAAGACCAGAGATCCGCCAGGCAGGGTGCTGGGGAGCTGGGCAGGGGAGGCAAGGCTGGGCTGGGGGTTGTGGGTGGGCTGGCTCCCTGCACCCATCACCTGTCCCACTTGTCCTTCTGCATTATTCTTGGGGGCTGAAGCTTCCAAACCCACGGATCTCCTCAGAGTGACTTTTTTCATGCTGATGCCAGCTGGCAGCTCCTGGGAAGCAGGACAGCGGGAAATGTTACATCCAAGCGCATTTGCACAGGGTGCTTGGGTGGAGGGCATGGTGCATTAAGGTCTCGGTGAAGAAATGGCCTCTCTCCTGACCCCCACTTGGGAAGTGCCCCATCCCTGGAAGGGTGCAAGGCCAGGATGGACAGGGCTTGGATCAGCCTGGGCTAGTGGAAGGTGTCCTTGCCCACGACAGGCAGGTTGACACCAATGGTCACAGACACACACGCTGCCAGTGCACGTATGGCCACACACACCCCAGCACACGCAGACACGTGCACCCCAGTGTGCACACACATCACACACGTGTACCAGCGCATACACACATCCCACTGCACACACACACGCACACACACACACGCATTCAGTTGCACACAAACACACATCCCAGTGCTCACACACATCCCAGCGCACACGCACACCCATGCACCCACCACTGGGTGCACATGCATGCCCCAGTGCACACACACGTGCACACATACACACACACAAGCTGGTGCACACTCACACGCGTGGCACACACACCCCCCCCATGCACACTCACCCACACACCCACACAGCCCGATGAACACGCATACACACACACACATCCCAAGGTGCACATACACTCACACACTCCCAGACGTACTCATACATATCACAATCCAGTGCACGCTCTCTCACACACGTGTGTATCCCAAGATACACACATACATACACATATACATACATATATACATATATACATATGTACATACACTCCCTCCCACCCTCCCCTCACACCCCGGCCCCGCCCCAGTCTCCGCCCCCTCCCCAGGCCCCGCCCCGGCCCTGCCGGCGCAGGCGCAGTGCTGCTGTCGGCGCGGCGGGCGATGGTGGCCGGCGGGGCGATGGTGGCCGGAGGGCGGGCGAGGAAGCTGGTGCGGCGGTACCGGCTGGCGGCCGCCACGGCTCTCGCCATCCTCCTGCTCCAGGGGCTCGTCCTCTGGAGCTCCGCCGGCCTTGACGAGGAGGGGCCGGCCGAGGTGCGCCG